AAAACATTTTCATATTTTTAAAAATAATATGCACCAACTCAGAATACTTTGAAGTATTTCTTAAAAAGCTAAAATATAAAACTATTTACACACTTTGTATTGAAATGTAACCACAACATTTTTTTCTTGGCATGTCAAAATACTAGGGACATTACTGTGTAGATAGTTTTAGTCTCAGTTATTCCAGATAATATTATATCGTAAGCATTATCAAGTCATTACACACACTTCATTAAATTTTTAATGACTGGATAAATCAGTTGTCATTGAGTTGATTCTGACTCGTGAAGACCTCTCCCCACCACGTGTGTCAGAAAAGAACTGTGCTCCATAGGGTTTTCAGTGGCTGATTTTTGGAAGTAGATTCCCAGCTCTTTCTTCCAAGGCACCTCTGGGTAACTTTTTGGTTAACAGCCAAACTCCATAATTTGCACTACTTAGGGACTCCAGTGACTGGGTAGTCATGTGTTGTATGGAAATACTATGACTCACCTAGACCCTACTTTGTTGTTGGGCATTTACTCTGTTTTACTGAGATTTTTAAATAAAGCTGTGATGCTTGTACTAAATCTATAACCACATCATTGCTCACTTTATAGAATTAGAAGTAATTTTGCTGGATCAATAGTATGAACAGTTTCAGGCATTTAAAAATACTGTCAAATTTATTTTTCAATATGTATTTTTAATATATTTGTATATTATACATAAAATAAACTTTACAAATCATATATGGATAGCTTGATTAATTTTTAATTTAAAAATATTTATTTGTTAATTCATTTTAAAACAGCAATAAACCTATTACATGTTAACATTGTTGTTGTATTGTTATGTGTCATCGAGTCGACCCCGACTCATAGTGAACACTTCTTGGGTTTCTGAGGCAGTATCACTACAGAAGTAGATTGCCCAACCTTCCTTCTGAGGAGTGGTTGGTGTGTTTGAACCACCAGCCTTCTGGTTAGCAGTCAAGTGCCTTAGGCACTATGCTACCAGAGCTCCTACATGTTAACATAAATACTATATTTTAATGAAAAATAACAGTATCTTATGAAAAAAATAGTAAGAAGAATGGAATGTGTTTCATATTTTTGTCTGGTTGAGTGATTAATTTTTAATCTATATATACTCCATGTAGCCACCATTCAAATCAAGACAAACAATCTCTCCATCATCTCTGAAAGTTCTCTTGTGTCCTTTCCCAGTCACTGCACCACCTTCTAGAAGTAACCGCTATTTTGGCTTCTATCACCATTTCTGTTCTTGAAATTCATATGAGGGAAACATACAATATGCAGTTTTGTGTCTGAAGTCTTGTGCTTAATGTAATGTTTATATATATATATATATATATATATATATATATATATATATATATATATCAGCTGATCTGTTCTTTTTATTGTTGTTGTTGTTGTTATGTGCCGTCGAGTCGGCCCCGACTCATAGCGACCCCTCCTTGGGTTTCCGAGGCAGTATCACTACGGAAGTAGGATTGCCCAACCTTCCTTCCGAGGAGTGGCTGGTGGAGGAGTTCTTTTTATTACTAAGGTAATATTCCATTGTCATGCTTGGTAAAGTGGAGGGTTGATGAAAGAGGGGAAGGCCCTCAATGAGATGGATAGACACAGTGGCTGTAGCATTGGGCTCAGGTATAGTAGGGATAGTGAGGCTGGCACAGGACCAGGCAGTGTTTTGTTCTGCTGTGGATAGGGTTACAATGAGTCGGACAAGACTTGATGGCACCTAACAACAATATCCCATTGTATGAATGTATCAGTTTGTTTATCCATTCTCTTATTGATAGACATTGGAGATGTTTCCAGTTTGGGATTATTATGAGTAAAGTAATTATGAACATTCTTGTTTAAATCTTTTTGTGTTCATGCACACTCATTTCTTTTGAGTATTTACCTAGGAATGGGATTTCTGAGTGATAGAATAGGTATATTCTTAACTTTGATAGAAACTTCTGAAGTTTTCGAAACATTCCACCAGCAATATGTGCAATCCATTTGCTACCTTTCTACCAATACTTGGTACTGTCAATATTTTCCATTTCAGCCCCTTTGGTGGTTTTGTCTCATGGGACCTTGACAGTAAGTTAAGTTACTTGATAGACTCTCCTTTAGCTTGATATGTCTGATGTTTCTTCATATATTCAATTTGGGTAATTTTGGCAGGAAGGTGATTGAAGTGATGTTGTGTTCTTCTCCATGTATCATACCAGGAGACATGGTATGTTCTATTACTGGTGATGTTAACTTTCATTGTTGTTGTTGTTAGGTGCCATTGGGTTGGCTCCTACTCATAGCCACCCAATGTACAACAGAATGAAATGCTGTTTGGTCCTGTGCAATCCTCATAATCATTGCTATGCTTGGGTCCATTGTTGTAGCCAGTCTATCTCTTTGGGGGTCTTCTTCTTTTTTGCTGACCATCTACATTACCAAGTGTGATAGTTGGAGCTGTGTGTCAACTTGGCTGGACCACAATTCTGTGTGGTTTAAGCTGTTGTGATGTGGTTATTCCCATGATGGCATCAGATGATTATGTTTTGAGCAGCCAATCTGTTGAAAGGGAGTTTCCCTAGGGATGTGGCCTGCTTCCAGTACATCTATGGACATCCTGGGAAAAGAGACATTCTTTTGTGGATCAGGATTCTGTTGTGCTGCCTACAACGGTCTGTGAGTGAACAATTCACCATTCAGTCTGGAGATCTTGGATTTGTCATTCGTTGGAGTCAATAGCCATTGTACTGCCTGCCAGCCTTGAGCTCCTCAGCCCCTGAGGCTGCAAGAGTAGGGAAAAGCCTCCAGCTTGACGTGGAAAAGCCTCCAGCTTGACGTGGAAAAGCCTCCAGCTTGACGTTTGATCCAGGAACTTTGGACTTGCCAGCTTCTATAAGTGTGTGAGCCATTTTCCTAAGATAAATTTCTGTCTATATACATATATATAAGCTTTACTGGTTTTGTTTCTCTAGAGAACCCAGTCTAACATACCAAGGATGATGTCCTTCTCCAGGGACTGATCCCTCCTGATAACATGTCCAAAGTAAGTGAGATGAAGTTTCTCCATTAACACTTCTAAGGAGCATTCTGCCTGTATTTCTTCCAAGACAGATTTGTTCATTCTTTGGAAGTCCATAGTATATTCAATATTCTTCCCCAACAGCATAATTCAAAGGCATGAATTCTTCTTTCCATATTCATTGTTCAGCTTTTGCATGCATATATTGTTGTTGTTGTTATGTGCTGTTGAGTCGGACCCGACTCATAGTGACCCCTCCTTGGGTTTCCGAGGCAGTATCACTATGGAAGTAGATTGCCCCATCTCCCTTCTGAGGAGTGGTTGGTGGGTTTG